TCTGTTTTTTTTGTTTTTGACACAGGGTCCAGGTATCCCATGCTGGTCTCAAATTCACTCTGTAGCCACAAGATGCCCTCAACTCCATGTCTTCCTGACATTACATGTGCGGCTTCCAGCCTATTAGCTTCATGAGTACGCAAACCTGCCTGGCCCCAGCTGTGAGCGAGCGCTGAAGACTGCCAGGTGGTTCCAGTCTAACCCTGCGCATGCACTTTAGGGAAGAAGGTGAGGATGGATCCAGGATGGCCACTTCAAGATCCCTGGGAGGTTAACAAGCAGATGGTCCTCCCGGTCCACAGCTCTGTCAACCACCCTCTAAGAGACAGTGAGACATTTCATCTGCCTTTGCTATCTACCCAGCTGCTCCTGGAGCTGAGGGAATCCCAGTGAGTTGTAATCTCCCAGCAGCGAAGGGGTTAAACTAGAAAGTCTTCCCTGGCCATTTCACGACCCATTATTCCCTCCAATAACAGGAGTGCAGTGAAGCACCAGGAGAGAAAAGGAGTCTCACTCAGCAGGCACACTGCTGCTATAAATGTGGAAGAGCCTAGGGAACCAGACCTTTCCAAGGCCCTTTAATTTCCTTCTTTCCCACAGCCTCACAGAGTGAGCCCGTGGCTCAGCCACCGAGAACAAGAAGGTAACCAGTCGCCTTGATAACATGTTCACCCAACCAATTAAGAGCACTTTCCTAGCATGAGTGAGGCCTTGGGTTCAATGCTCAGTACAACACACACACACACACACACACACACACACACACACACACACACACACACACAGACCCACACAGACACACCACACAACACAAAAGCAGGACATACAAATCACTCCTGATGTATCTGTCCTACAAGAGGCTATTCCTTTAATCACATAAACCTTATGGCAGAGGTTTTTCTTTGTTTTTAGCAGTTATCTTTCTTGAGCTTAAACAATGAAATTCAATTTGCAAAGATTTGGCTCTCAAATATTTTATGAAATCATCTAAGACACGGCAAAGTGTAAGTAAATACCTTGCATATTTAAAAATGGAACTCTGGCTTATGGGCCCCAGCAGCAGGCAATTAATAAATTATTCAATCAGGTGGATCTTTCTATTTCCAGTGTTTAAAATAAGAAATCTTGATTGAAAGCCTCTTTGTAAGCCACATCTTTGGTTGAGATATTTTCTGACTTTAATTCTTTGGTGTAAACTAGAAATTATACACACACACACACACACACACACACACACACACACACACACATTCACACACACACACACACACTTTCAGGGTATATTAAATCTGTGGTGTGTGTGTGTGTATGTGTGTGTGTGTGTGTCTACGTGTCTGTGCATGTGAGTGAAGGCACATGTGTGCCAGGTATACATGTGGAGGTCAAGGACAACCTCCTGCTCCCACTTGGTTTAGTCAGGGTCTCTTACTGTTTGCTGCTTGGTTTTCCAGTCTGGCCGGCCCATGAGCTTCTGGAGAGTCTCCTGTCCCACCTCCCGTCTCACTGGAGGAGCACTGAGATCACAGGCCTGTGCTACCACATCCAGCTCTACATGGTCCTGGGGATCTGAACTCAGGTCCTATGTGTTTGCCGACAACCCTTTACCCACTGAGCCAGCTCTCGGCCCCTTGCTTTGTTTTTGAGACATGGTCTTGCTATGTAGCCCAGGCTGGCCTTGAACTTCCAAAGGACCTGGTTGCTCTTCCAAAGTCCCAGCACCCACATGGCAGCTCACAACTGTCTGCAATTCTAGTTACAGGGGATTCTGACGCCCTTACAAAGACAAGCATGCAAGCAAAACACCAACTCACATAAAAAAAGAAAAAGAAATTTTTTTTCTGATTTCTCTGTAGATAGGAAACATAATTCATACATTAAAAAAATCATAGAGAAGGCAGCCAGGATGACTCAGCAGGTAAAGGCATCAGCAGCCAAACCTGAGTTCAATCCTAGGGAACCACAGGATGGTTCCTAAAGGGACTCTCCAAAGTTGTCCTTTGACGTCCACGCTTGCACTGTGGCACACGTGTCCCCCTCCCCCGCCACTCCAGCCCCACACAAAATAAAACACAAATGTAATAAGTTATATACATGTATGCGCATGCATATATACACACAGGTTCTCACTGCTGAGTGGTGGTTTGCCATGTGGAAAGCGTGTTCTGGTTTGTTCACGTCTTCGTAACAACCGCCTTATGAGAGCAGTTGGAGTCCCCAAGGTTCACAGTGACAGACTCGGCCATCAGATGTCTCTCAAATCTAGATTTCCTGACTGTCAAATCCATAGTTTTTCTGCCTTTTACTTTGATGAGATGCTGTCTAATGAATAAACACTCCACTCTCATTTTGGAAGTAAATCAATAAATAATCTACATTAGGTTAGAGAATATAAAATTGCTAACATTTAAATACTCCCCAACCACAATAATGGTATTTTCTTTTCTTTCTTTCTTTCTTTCTTTCTTTCTTTCTTTCTTTCTTTCTTTCTTTCTTTCTTTCTTTCTTTCTTTCTTTCTTTCTTTCTTTCTTTCTTTCTTTCTTTCTTGAAACAGGATCTCTCTATGTAGCTCTCGCTGTCGTGGAACTCGATCTGTAGACCACATTAGCCTCGAACTCCCAGAGATCGAACTGCCTCTGCCTCCCAAGTGCTAGGATTAAAGGTGTGTACTATTTCAAATGGGTTGACCTGATACATCTCAGCACTGACCTAATATGGGCAAAGACAGACCCTTGATGAGGGGAAACTAACCTTTATCATGAGAATAAGCCTTCTTCGGTGTCCACAGGCACAACACAACTCTCTAGGGTGGCCCATTACAGCCAACTCCAAGGACTAGCAGCTCCCAGGAGGCAGGCAGGGAGCTGCTTTCTTCCGGGAAGGCCTAGGGTTTTAAACGGGACCGCTCATCTCCATGGCCATGGGTTGCTCTCCAGACAGAAGTGTAAACTGAACAAAGCTGTTTCACAGGTCCCTGGGCGCCTGTGGCCAGCCCTTCAGTGTTGAGTGGACTCTTTCCCCCATGGGAACTTCTGGGGTAGCACAGCTGCACCTCATGACGTAGGGAGTGGGCAGCTCTTCATAAAGCCCTGCCTTTTCCTTCTTTCCTGTGTTCTCATTCCACTGGGCCTGCTCATCCCCCCACCATCCCCATCCCCATCCCTATCTTGCAGGAATGGGAGGGAGGAGGTCAGTACTTTCTCCTCCAACGGAGAGGAATTGGGGCAGGGGGAGGGTGGAGGAGGCAGAATTCAGAGGAATAGCTGTGTCTGAGGAAAGACGGCATTGACAGAGAATGACCCATTTAAAAGGGCCCTGTGAGGCCGCCCTGTGCACACACACCGACCCTCAGCGGCTGTCTGGGTAAACAGGAACACACCCGAACCCTTACACTCAGACACCATTTCCCACACCCACCTGCAGTCTCTCTACTAGCACACACTGGAAGTTGCCAGGATTTAGCTCAGTAGCAAACGTAGTACCTCGGCATCCCCCACTCACACCTCACCAAGGGGGCGGGAGTGAAGAGAAGAGGGTAGTTAGTGTTCAGAGCAGCAGCAGGGAGAATGGGAGGACTGATCTAGAAAGCAGGATTCCAGTCAGGTAGGCGGGCGGCCAGCACTCGAGGGGCTGAAGCAGGTGGAGTGCCACAAGTTTGGGTCAGCCTGGACTACGCAGGGAGTTCCAGGCCAACCTGGGATAGCCCTACCCCCAAAAGAGAGGAAGAGAGGGAGGGAGGGAGGGAGGGAGGGAGGGAAGGAAGGAAGGAAGGAAGAAGGGAGGGAGAGAGAGAGAGAGAGAGAGAGAGAGAGAGAGAGAGAGAGAGAGAGAGAGAGAGAGAAGGGAGAGAAGACAGATTCCGCACTAGGAAGACTGAGGTAGGACTGAGTTCCAGGACATCCTAGGCTACATGGCAATGACCTGCTTAGCCGAAAAACAAAAACCCAGAAATAACCATGGGAGAATGTAGAGACTCCAAGAGACTTCTGCCACCAAGCGTCACGGTTGCCATGTGGGAGGGAAAAGGTGACAAGCAGCAGGAGCAGGAGGGGGCTCATCGAGAAGCTGTAACCTTTCTGGATCCTTCCACCAAATTTTATAGGCAACATGAGTATGTCAGGCACAGAGGAACAGATGTGGAACGTAGAGGCTCCTAGGCCAATGTGGGTGTGAGGCAGGACAGCCCCATTGGAGAGGCCTCTGTCTGCCCCTAAACTAGACAAGCTTCCTAACACGGGGGCTTCAACACACCCATTGGGAGGCCCTATTTAGTTGAGCCTACCTGGGTTCTTTTGTAAGGAATAAGGAACTAAGTTAATATTTGTTTTAAGTGTTGATTTAAATTTTTTTCTCAACTATTGCAAAGCACGTGACCTGGCTGGCCTGGGCCACCTTTTAGGAGTGGGCAGCAGGGATTCGGACCTAGGTTGCTTATCTCCTCGGGCCATGCTCATATCCTTACCACTGTATTGCAAAGAGGATGGGGGGAAAGACAGCGGGACCCTGACAGTGTGAGGGGCTGGAGTAGGGGCAACACCCGGCTGACGGTCAGGAGGTGTGGAGTCCGGGCTTGACTTTGGGCAGATCACTTTCTCCCACAGGTCTCTTTTCTACTGGAGAAGTTGGATGACATTAAGGCTCTCTTACTTAGGGGTGCCTGTGTGTGTGCTGTGTGTGTGCTGTGTGTGTGTGTGTTGCATGTGGAATTGTCAAACCTGGAGCCCACTGATTTGGCTAGGATGGCTTGCAGTAGCAAACTGTGGGTGTCGGCCTCCCCAGCACTGGGGTTACAGGTGTGCATCATCACCATGCCCAGCTTTTTAGGTGGCTACTAGGGATGCAAACTTGGGTCCTCATGCTTGTGTGAAAAGCACTTTATGGACTGGGTTATCTCCTCAGCCCCAAAGTCCTCTTACTTTGCACAGTCTATGACGAAGAATTCTAAAGACCACGTGGTCTAGCTGTGCTGGATAGTTCTATATCGACTCGACACAAGCTACAGCCATCTGAGAGGAGGGAACCTCAATTAAGAAAATGCCTCCATAAGATTGGGTGTAGGGGCCTGGAGAGATGGCTCAGTGGTTAAGGGCACTGGCTGCCCTTCCAGAGGTCCTGCGTTCAATTCCCAGCAACCACGTGGTGGCTCACAGCCATCTATAAGGGGATGTGATGCCCTCTTCTGTCTGATACACTCTTCCATCATGCAGGCATACAAGCAAATAGAGCACTCATATACATAAAATAAATAAATATTAAAAAAAAAAAAAAGATTGGGTGTAGATTAGCCAGTGGTGGTGGCACACAGCTTTTAATCCCAACTATCAGAAAGCAGAAGCCAGTGTGGATCTCTGTGAGTTCAAAGCTAGCCTGGTCCACAGAGAGGGTTCCAGGACAGCCAAGGTTACACAGAGAAACTCATCTTGAACCACCCCTCCCCTGCAAAAAAAAAAAAAAAAAAAAAAAAAAAAAAATGGATGTAGGTAAGACTGAGGGGCATTTTATTAATTAGTGATTGATGGGGGAGGGTCCAGCCCATTGTGGGTGGTGCCATCGCTGGGCTGGTAGTTCTGGGTTCTATAAGAAAGCAGGCTGAGCAAATCATAACGAGCAAGCCAGTGAGCAGCTCTCCTCCACGGCTTCCGCATCCTCTCCTGCCTCCGGGTTTCTGCCCTACTTGGGTTCCTGTGCTAACTTCCTTCACTGAGGAAGAGTGATGTGGAAGCGTAAGCCAAACAAACTCTTTTTCTCCCCAAGTTGCTTTCGGTCATGGGGTAGGGAAACGGGCACACTTGCAGGCCAAGCATGGCTGGAGAAAATAGAAACTCAGGTCCCGCTGAAATGGGTCTCTGCAAAGACCCAGGCCTGAACCACGCTCCGGCCAGGCTGAGGGAACTATGGGGGATTAATGTCCGAGCCCAGCGATGACAGGGGAGAGACAGGGCAGATCCACAGGGAACAGGGGCTGCTCACCATGACAATGTTGGCTAGGTGGGCAGAGACGAGCGCATACACCCCTCCGGAAGAGCCCACAACAGGTGCGGTCATGTCAGCCACAGACACAGCCAAGGAGCCTGGCAGAGAGATTGGAAACCATCAAGAAGGTGGGAGCCACTGGGCAGCCCAGCCCTGGCCCTTGCTGTCCGCCACCAGAGCAGAGGCTATTCCACAGCAAGAGGCTCCATCCTTCCCTTTTGATGCCACGCTGCCTCGTGGCTTCTTCCGGACTGTCCAGAAGACCTGTGTATGGAGGAATGACCCCCGGGGTTCAGCCTTCTCATTGTACTGATGGGGAACCAAGATTCAAAGGAAAAGTCTGACTGGCCCCAAGTGGGACCGATTCCAAGCCCAGGTCATCTGCCGTCAGCATCATCCGGTGGTGACAAGAAGCAGCCACAGGGGACAGAAGGTGTTCCACTCGGGGTAGGCAGAGTACAAACATTTCTCCCTCCTACCCTCAAGGTTCATTTCCACCCTGAAGGCCAAGCTTGGAGGCCGGTGCTAACACACTCACCACAGACACAAGGGAAGAGTCTCATCCCAGCACCGGAACCAGGATTTGAATCCTGCTCTGCCCTCCCCCACCCCGCCCTCATGGCCTTACAGAAGCTAGTCATCATTCTATCACAAAGCAGTTCCTGAAAACCGGCACTGATCAAAACCCCTGCTCTTGGCTTCTGTGGCGGCCACTTCCCACGTTAGTTCAGAGGTGGCCTCTGCCTCCTTCCACCTCTCCTTCCTCAGCTGAATCTATAAAGCTGCTCAGCTTCACCTCCCACCTCCTGTCAGCCACGCTAAAGCACAAAAGGCCCACGGGATCTCCCAAGTGGGGCCTCTCTGGAGGGAGGATGTCCTTGAAAAGTCCAGAGAGTGATGATATCACACTCCAGTGGGGGGAGGGAGGGGGCAGTTCTGTGGCTGTTGGTGTGTGTGTGGGATGACAAACTTTGGTCCTAGGAGGGAAGCTGGGCAGGGAGGAGATGGGAAATTTATTGTTCTGGTCGCATTTAAGTGTGATCAATGCTTTGGCTTCCAGGGAAGGACACAGGAAACTAAAAATAACCAGGAGGTAGGGCCCAGGGCACAGAGGGTGAGGAGCGGCTGGCCTGGGTGAGCAAGCAGAAACCTCGGTTGGAAAACGCCTGCGGGCTCTGGAGTCAATTAGCTGCTCCAGGGAGAAGGCTGGAGAGAGGAGGAAGAGGCTGAGAGCCCAAATCTGCAAGTCCTCCTAAGGTGGGGGCCCACAACTTAGGAGCGAGTTCCTGAACCAGGACCATCTGGATGGAGACAGAGAGAGAGAGGCCCCCTGGGAGCACCGTTGACCACCTGCCTCTCGGCATTCCCTCTCCAGGTCCCGATGACCCACTGTTGCTATGTGATGTCTCAGAAAAACTGAAACAGACAAACCCCAAGCTATCATGACCCGGGGACTCACAAGTCCTTCTCCCAGTCCATGGCAACTGGGAATCTCCCTTTACCTCTGTCAAATCTTTCTTTTTTTTCAGCTTTAATTGGTATCTAACTACTGTCAGATAACTTTCTCCCTTTATTGGCCTGTCCACAGGGTTCAGCCATAAATATCCCAAAGCAGGGGGCCTTGGGTGGGGGTGGGGGACCCCAGGGTAGCAAACAGGCAGCAGGATCTGCATGACAAAAGATTCCCACGCTCTCCTGGCCGCCGGTTGAGGGCTGCATTGCAGGAGAGAGCCGCAGGGCCAGCTGCCCCTGCCAGCTCCTCATTAATTACTGTTTGCAGCGAGCGAGCCCCAGCTCCACCCAGCTGGTCCCTTTCGTCTCTCCGACAGACCAACGCAACTTGGCCCCTTCTCGGGGCTCCAGAGCACTCCACCAGCGCCAGAGATGCATCAGGGCAGCCTCCGGGGGACAGAAGGGCCTCACTCGCCCTGTATTTAGAGTCTTGACCCTCGGGCCAGGGGCCAGCTAGGAATCCTGGCAAGAGTGTGGAAGGGGGGGTGGGGTGGATGAGGGATGTGACTGACCAGTTGTGTGACCTTAGGCATTGCTCATAAATTCTTTTGGCTTCAGTATTCACATATATTCTGGCCATGTGGGGTGGAGCCTGGGGAGCAAATCTGTCTCCCACAGGAGGGGGCTCCATAGTTCTTCCCAGACCAGGAATTCAATGACCCCAGGTTTGGCTGAAGATAGGGGACCGAGGCTTCGATTTTTCGATTGAGATGTAAGTATCTTTTAAAGACAGGTCATTTTTTAAAAAAAATAATTTTTAGTTTTACATGCATTGATATTTTGCCTACAGATAGGTCTGTGTGAGGGTGTCAGATCCCCTGGAACCTGAGTTATAGATAGTTGTGAACTGCCATGTGGGTGCTGGGAATTAAACCCAGGTCCTTTGGAAAAGCAGCCAGTGCTCTTAACCTCTGAGCCATCTCTCCAGCCCCGTAAAGACAGGTCTTATGTAGTCCAGGTTAACCTCAAAGTTGCTGAGATTCTCCCATTCTGCCTCCTGCGTGCTGGGATAGCAAGCATGCACCTCATTTTATAACCTTATCACCTTCCAAGACTCTCCTAAGGTCCACGCATCAGCTGGGGCCTGGAGAGACTGGCTGGGACCAAAGGACACAGGATCTGTGCATACAGGGCAGTAAAAGCCATCAAGGGAGACTGTAGACCAGGCAAGAGTCCTTCATAACCTGCTACAAAAGTCCTGGCGGACAGGTCCATAAAGTCAGGACAACTCTCGTGAAGGTGGTAGGGACAGAAGCCAGGAAGACACTGACAAGCTGGAAGGCCACACCTCTGCACAGCACAGACCAGCACAGACCAAGGGGGGTTGGTTCTCAAAACATATTCTGGGTCCATGCCCTTGTGCAGGTGAAGTGGTGGCCTCGCCATCAAGGCGCAGCTGTGGTGGGAAATTTCAGCCTGAGAATTTTGAAGGCAGGTGTTCTCCAACATCTCCCTTGGCCATCATGAAAAACTCAAATTAACACTGGCAGAACATTTCCCTCTAAGCAATGTTTCTTTATTTATTCATGTAGTCTTTCATCTACCCTACAAATATTTATTACCTAACAGATGCTGAGCTCTAGGGATGCATACCGGCTTCTACAAACTCTGCAATAAAACGCTGCTGATACACATAGGTGCTGTGTTTGTTTGTTTGTATTTGATGTAGTATTTCACGTAGCTCAGGGTGGTCTCACAGTCACTATATAGCCAAGGATGACCTTGAACTCCTGGTCCTCCTGCCTCTACCTCCCAAGTGTTTCGATTACAGACGTGTGACCACACGTTCTGCTAAGACAGCGGCTTTAAAAGATTGTCAGTGACGTCACTGCTCATATCCAGTGTTGGTCCCAGGAGCTGGTTCAGTGCACAGGGCTCTACTCTAATTTGATTACTTAGAAGAGTTGATTCCACCTTTCTGAATGGTTTGTACAATGGGAGTGACAGTGGATACCTTACGGACCTTATAAAATCATGACGTGTATTGGTGATGACACACAAGGCCGCTACTCCAAGCCTGAACTCTATATATGTGCTCTGGTAGTTAGCCATCACTCGATAAAACAGGATAGCCTTGGGTTTGCAATACCTGAACTGGGCAGGGATGAAAGCAGGGCCAGATACTGATCAAGGCCTCGACTGGTTTCTGACAGATTTTTCTGCAAAGGCCTGCCTTTTGATTCTCATGTGTTTACCGGGCAATCTTCGGGGTCACAGAATCTGTGTGGGAACCCCTCTCTTACAAGCGGAATCTTCCTGGGCAGACCACTTGTTCCTCTAAACCCTGGCTTCTGGTTTTTGTTTTATTGTTGCTCTCTCACAATGTAGCCCACACTGGCCTGGGACTTCTGATCCTCTCCGAAGCACTGGCATTACGGGAGCGTGAGCCTCAGGCTCTGTATCCACACCGGGTAGAGAAGTGTAGCTACTGGCCACGTGGCTTGGTGGTGAGGACGCCATACACACTGGTCATGGATAAGGACTAGCTCTCTAGCCAAGGTCTAACTGTCTGTAAGGGATCCCCTCTGGGGATCCAGAGGGACAGCAGTGTAGGGAGATCAACCCACTCAATTGTGGAGGTCAATGACATGATTTGTAGTGACCAGAAAGCCCTCCGGCCTGGCTCGATGGCTCAGGCACATCGCCGTGTGCCCTGGGCTCCGAGTGGCAGCCTCACAGGCTCATATGTTGGTGATGTGCCTGGCTTCTGTCTGCACCTTCCTACTCTGCACTGACATCACTGGGGGAGGGAGGCTCGCATCGTCTCTCCACTGTGTCATCCACTCTGGGTGAGGGCTGAGTCATTTGGAACCTCACTGCTCACTGCTGTCTTCCGAGTTATTGTCGTGTGTGTCGTCCCCCCCATCCCCCCCCGCGTCCCCCCCAGGTCTAATTGACTAACTGCAAGTGTTACAAGTGCCTTCCCGTTCCTTGTCACTTAACATCTGGGACTCTGGGGAATCTAGGTGGGGAACGTACATCCATAAATCCCCAGGTGACACATGGTGTGTGGGTGGCTGAGAGAGTCTGGAGGAACCTGGAGGTGCTCACTAGACCTCTGTTAAGGACACAGTTGGTGCTGGATTCAGGGAAAGGCCGGTAAGGGTCTAAGGGGCAAGGATCTGGGCGCACAGAGAAGTGCCAGAGACACTGCTGGGAGGGAGGGTCTCCCCAGCACCAGGGTCTACACACTGGCAGGCGAGCCCGCCGGAGGTAGAGTGGGATTCTCCCTGCTCTGGTGACTTCCATCGCTGCCTGCCTGTTGTTTACAAGGTCAAGGCTGCCCAGCTCTCTTGATGACAACTTTAATGCCATTCAGAAAGGATTAAGATCTTAAACACACACACACACACACACACACACACACACACACACACACACACACACACACACAGCTCCCTTGGGCCCCGCTGTCAAGCTGAGGAGCTGAGGCGGCAAGGCTTTAACAGGCAGCAGGAAAGTCGGGGGCATCACGAGGGAGGTCTGACGCTCAGAGGCTGGGCTGCAGTTACCTTCCCTGGAGAAAGCGCCCTCCTGCTCAACTCATGTGTTCCAACTCCCCGCCAGGCACACAGACTTCTCCCACCAGGAGGATCCACTACCTCCTGGGCCAGACTGTCCTGTCCTCATAGGGTCAATCAAGGGATCCTCTGGGTAGAAGAAAAAGCTCCCTATGGGTGCAGATAGGCCTTGGCCAAAGAGCTGCCTGGCTACATCCAGACCACCGGTGTCCCTCTTCACCTTGCCCAGTAGAAGGAACCTGTTGTCACATGTGTGGCCTCCACACGACAGGAGGCAGGCTCTCAGTAGCTCTGTCTACAAGCTTGAGGGGACCAAAAGGACCAAGGGATTTCCCCCAGGCTTCCACAGCTACCGGAACACACCTCCCTGTCTGGTGTCTGCGGGAAATCTGCCTGGAGGACAATCCAGAGTCAGGAACCTTGGAGATGCCCGGGAAGCCTGGGCTCATACCACCCCAGGGATCTCCTCCGGCCTACCCTGGGGAAGAGCACCGCGGGGCCCACCAGCCTACCTGCCACAACGCCGGCCACGTAAACAAGCCCAATTCGGGTGGCTCCATGCACCATCTCCAGGGGCACGCCTACCAGCAGCTGCAGCACCACGTTGAGTCCTAGGTGTTCGACCCTGTGACAGACACACTCATTAACTCACCTGACAAATGCTGTGTGCCCTGAGACTGGGGGGCCAGGAGGGTGCAAGGCGGCACCAGCTTTGCCTGTGAGCAGCTCCTGGGCTGGGGAGGGGATGATTGCCATGGAAAAAGATTCCTTCCAGCTGGGACAGAATACACATAAGGGGCCTGGTGGTAACAGGTAGTCTGCCTCTGCAGTAGTGACAGGGACTAGCCATGCCCAGGACCTAGCAGCCTCAGGAGCTAACATGGACGATGCCAAGGTTCAGAGAGTGGCAGTGAGTGGTTTAAAGTCACAGCCCGGGTGTTTGACCAGTTTGACCTGGGCCGTTCACCAGCTCCGGGATCACTCTGGTCTTTCACCATACCTACAAGCACTACGGAGCCGGAAATCAAAGATAGTCTCAAAACATCTTGAAACATTGTAACTTAGCAATGCAACATTTTCTCTTAAAGTTTTAAATAGAGAAAAGTTCTCCCATCTGGTGTGAGAAGGGGTCCACCCGCTCTACTCACTCCAAACTTCTCAGGGCTGGGAGAGGGACCCCGGGCTTTCTTGCCCTGGCACAGACTGTGATGGGAAATGAGCAGTTTCAATAAGTCAGTCCTTTACTTGGCTTGTGGGAGCAACCTCACACACAAATTAAGAACAACTCTGGTGGCAGGTTGGTCACATGACCCTTTTTGCTTTCTTTGGCCACTGGGAAACAGAACATTTCAACCTGCCTCTGGGAAGTGCATAGAACTATACCGTTAAATGTGTGGGCCAAGCCCATTGCTGGCTCTGGGCACCCTACCCTCTCTGTTTCTCCTTCCCACAAACAGTAACCGACAGTGTGTTTGGTATGGGCTGAGTTTCAAGGAGCTATCACAAATCTGCATTCAAGTCAATAAAAATAAACTGAAAACTTAATTCCAGAGTTTGGGGCTCAGTGTTAGGACACTTGCCTATCCAGAGACCCTAAGTCCAATCCTCAACACTGTAAAAAAAAAAAAATTAGTTTTAAAATATGCATATGTAAGAGGAAAAGAAAGTAAAGATAGAAAGAAAAAAACAAAAGAAAAGAAAAAATAAGAAAAAAAGAAAAAAAACAAAGAAACAAAAAAAGAAAAAATAAATAAATAAAATAAAAAATAAAATATGCATCTGTAAATGTATATATAAAATGCTCATATATATATCATGTAATAACTTCACCCCAGGTAGGCAGGCCGCTCACTCACTCTCCTGCAGGGTCCGTGGGGAGACAAACTCACCCTGCATGCATGAAGATGTATGTCACATAGCGCCAAGCCTGTGCGCGGAGCTGCGGGTGGTAAACCAGAGAGTTCTTCAGGTACCGGGGATGCGTCACCTGCAGCACAAACTGATCCAGGAGGACCCCGTTGTACAGGAACAGGGCAACCTAGACGAAGCAGAGCGGACAGGCCAGTTACTAGGCACAAGACGGCCCCGGATGGTGTTCCTGACGGGCACTGGGGACATGACAGGAGACTGCTATCCCACCTGAATGACAGGTGCCCATAGCCAGCACCCACTTACCAGAAAACATCCCTCATTCCACGTCTGTCTGATACGTGCGTGTGATGGGGTCATTTGATCTCTTTGTCTATGCCTCCTTGACAGGCATAATTTTAAATCTTAATTTTAGTAAAACCTTACTCTCCCATTTTATATAGGTTTTCTTAAACAACAGCAACAAAACAAAACCAAAACTAAAAAAAAAAAAAAAATTTAGAAAACACTGTGGTAGAACAGACATAAAATTTAGCAACTGTAAATTTTTGTTGCTGTTGTTGTTTTTCGTTTTTTGAGACAGGGTTTCTTTGTGTGGCCCTGGCTGTCCTGGAATTCACTCTGTAGCCCAGGCTGGCCTCGAACTCACAGAGATCGGCCTGCCTCTGCCTCCCAGAGTGCTGGGATTAAAGGCATGTGCCACCACCGCCTGTCTGAAAGTTCTTCTTATTTATTTATTTAGTGTAAGTGTGTGTGGTGTATGTCCACCCACGTGTGCCACGGCGCACCTGTAGACAGCAGAGAATTTGCAGGATTTGATCTTTTTGTCTACCATGTGGGTTTCAGGGACGGAACTCAGCGCCAGGACCAGCAGCAAGTGCCTTCACAGCTGCGCCGTCTTGCCAGCCTACATTTAGCATCTCAGGCAGGTTTCAGCACACAGGCGAATGGCACCAAATACGTTCTTGCGCTACCCTCTCTCTTGCCTCTTCACCAAAGTCCTTCATCATGCAAAACTGAAACCCTGTACCCACGAACAAGAGCTGCCCTTCCCTGCAGTTGCTGGCCCTCCTTGCAGTTCCCCCAATCACCACCTCTAGGGTCCGCCTCCAACATGCCTATCTATCCGGATGCTTCATGCAGCTGAGACCTGAGTGTGGAGAGGCCCTGCACAGTACTCCTCCTTCTGTGACTGGCTTATGTTATTATTTGATTTTATTTTTTCAGTTTTTCAAGACAAGGTTTCTCTGTGTAGCTTTTGTTGCCTGTCCTGGATCTCACTCTGTAGACCAGGCTGGCCTCGAACTCACAGAGATCAGTCTGCCTCTGCCTCCCGAGTGCTGGGATTAAAGGTGTGCGCCATCACTACCTGGCTGACTGACTTTTTTATCCCCAACTGGCTTAAAGTGTACCTTCTCAAGGATGACCTGCATTATGTCACATGTCAGTTTCCTTTTTTTTTTTCCTTTTTATGATACAAGGCCTTGCTAGGTAGCCCAGGTTGACCTAGAATCACTATACAGCCCAAACTGCTTGCTAACTCACAATCCTCCTGCTTCAGCATCCCAAGGGCTAGAATCACAGGCACAGCCTACCGTGCGCTGAGCAGAACTAGGCAGTTCCATTGTATGTATCTGCCTCTCTGACACCGCTCTCTCTGTCAGTGGGAACGTGGATGGCTGCCATCTTCTTGCTTTTGAGAATATCTCTGTGAACCAGGTGGACAAGTAGCTCCTACTTTTAACTTCAAAGTGGAATTGCCACAGTATACGGTAATCTTAAGGTTAAAAATTTTAAAGCTATCATTATTTGAAGTCGGACGAGGTGGTGCACACCTTTAGTCCCAGCACTCGGGAGGCAGAGGCAGGCGGATCTCTGTGAGTTCCAGGCCAACCTGGTCTACAGAGTGAGTTTCAGGACAGCCAGGGCTACACAGAGAACCCATCTCAAAACAAAACAAGTTATTATTCTATGTGCATTTTTATTTTGTCTGCAATCATATCTGTGCACCACATGTGTGCCTGCCTCCCAAGGAGGCCAGAAGAGGGCGTCAGGTACTTAGACCTGGAGTTACAGATGGTTGTGAGCCACCATGTAGTAGGAGCTGGGAATCCAAGGAAGAAGCAGTCAGTGCTCTTCCCCACTGAGCTGGCTCTCCAGCCCCATGCTTCATTTTCTGAAGAACGAACGGCCAGACAGTTTTCCTAGTGGCTGCAGCACCATGTTACACTCCCATCAACAGCACCCAAAGTCTCTGGTTTCTCCTTATCTTCAGCTAGGTACCACAGATGTTCATTCTTTTCAGATGACTAAGTATATTTGTTCAGGCCCTAGAAGTATGTTTACTTTGGTGGTTTCTCGGGAACTCGCTGTAAAATGCACTGCTGTGTTCCGGTGTTTATAATCAGAGCATGGGCAAAGCCATTTAAGAATGTCTGGGGGACAGGAGGTAGTAGCGCATGCCTTTATTCCCAACACTCAGGAGGCAGAGGCAGGTGGATCTCTTTGAGTTCGAAGCCAGCCTGGTTTACAAAGCGAGTCCAGGACAGGACAGCCAGGACTGTTACACAGAGGAACCCTGTCTCAAAAAAAAAAAAAAAAAGAAGAAGAAAGTTTTGGGTACCAGGCTGGGCTACCACAGTGCAGAAACCCAGGAGGGTGGGGTTTCCTTTCCAAACACAATGGCCTGAATTTGCTCTTTGTTTCTTCTCTTGCTGCCAGCTGTGGTTTCTGTAGTGTTGCTGGCAGCTCCACGTTCCTCCATCTTCTACCTTTTACAAATCAAAGACCCCGATTACTAGAGTTCTATGGAAAACAGAAGCCTCGGACTCCAAGAGAGTTAAATCAGCTGTTTGAGTATCTTCCTTTTTTTCTATATTGATGGCTCGAATTCATACAGCTGCAGAGTTTTGGAATCTGAGCCAATCTGCACACAAACACTGGCTCCTTTGGACCAACTTAGGCAAATTATCCCAATGATCTGGTCCTCAGTCTCCCTATCTGAAAATGGGTTCCAATAATTAAACTGCACAGTGGTCGCAGGTTTACAAGTGATATTGCAGCTAAGAGTGATGGCATTTGGCTATAGTCCTAGCACTCCACAGGCAGAGACAGAAGGATTGTAAGTCAGAGGTTATCTGGAGTAAAGAGTGAGACCCTTTTTTCTTCTCTCTCTCTCTCTCTCTCTCTCTCTCTCTCTCTCTCTCTTTCTCTGTCTCTCTCGTTTCCTCTCTCTCTCTCTCCCTCCCTTCCTTTCTTTATTTCTTATTTATTTATTTTGATTTTTCAAGACAAGGCTTTTTGTGTAGTCCTGGCTATCCTAGAACTCACTCAGGCTGGCCTCAAACTCAGAGATCTGCCTGCCTCTGCCATGAGTGCAGGGACACAAGGCATATACCACTATGCCCGACAAGAAAGAGACCCTTTCTTAAAAGAACAACAAAATGGGCTGCAAACACATGTATACACTCAGACACACACACACACACCCTCACATAAAATAAAATAAGTAAATGAACAGAGCCAGGAGCTGTAGAGACAGACGCCTCTGCAGTTGACAGCCCTTGCTGCTCTTGCCAGGGACTCGGGTTCAGTCCCTCACTCCCACGTGACAGCTTACACCCATCTGTAACTCCAGCTCCCGCGGCTCTAACACCCTCTTCTGGCCTCTGTGGGCATTGCATGCATGTGGTGCACAGACATACTCATTCACACAAAGCAAGCACATCTAATAAAAATTTTAAAAAAATTCAGCCAGGTGGTGGTGCACGCCTTTCATCTCAGCCCTTGGGAGGCAGAGGCAGGGGGATCTCTATGAGTTTGAGGCCGGCCTGGTCTACAGAGCGAGTGCCAGGACAGCAAGGGCTTCCCAGAGAAACCCTGTCTCGAACAGGGAACAGAGGGTCCAGTGGGTAAAGGCACTTGCCGGCATGTCTGACAACCTCAGCTCAGTCCGAGGATCTAGACGGCTGAAGGAGAGAAGAGGCTCCTGCGAGCTGTCCTCTTACCTACACACGGGCACCATGCAGGCTCTCTGTGTCAAGTTTAACACAAAGGGGCAGCTCGAGCCCCGGCAGGCGACCAGGGAAGGAAGCTATAATCAAGGTCGGGCTGGGCTCTATGGACCATGCCTGGACACAGATACATTGCCAAAGGCTACATGCCCGCTGTTCTCCAAGAAGCTGCTCGGGCAGCTGGGAATGGAGGCCAGCGGTGGAGTGCTTGTCTAACATGTATGAAGCCTAGGTTTCTCTCTCTCTCTCTCTCTCTCTCTCTCTCTCTCTCTCTCTCTCTCTCTCACACACACACGCACGCACGCACGCACGCACGCACGCACGCACGCACGCACGCACGCACACACACACACACACACACACACACACACACGGCTGTCGCCACGCAGCTCTCCTGGTAACAAGCTTAGCTTCCAAGTTTCTCATTATTGTTGGTCCCCAAATAGACGTCAATAATAGTCCCACCCAGTAAGCACTGGGAGAACACATGTAAGGAAATCGCAGAAAAACACCACGGCAACACATGCTTAGGTAAAAGCGTAATTACAAACGGATCTCTGTGTGCAGAACAGAGAGGGGTAGATTTTTGTTTCTGTTTTTTTTTTTTTTTTTTTTGGTTTTTCGAGACAGGGTTTCTCTGTGTAGCTTTGCGCCTTTCCTGGGACTCACTTGGTAGTCCAGGCTGGCCTCGAACTCACAGAGATCCCCCTGGCTCTGCCTCCCGAGTGCTGGGATTAAAGGCGTGCGCCACCACCGCCCGGCTTGTTTCTGTTTTTTTGTTTTGTTTTTTAGAGTTTCTTACAAATATTTTTTTGGGGGTGGGGTGGGGTGAGGGTTGAGACAGGGTTTCTTTGTATAGCTCTGGCTGTCCTGGAACTCGCTCTGTAGACCAGGCTGGCCTCACTCACAGAGATCCGCCTGCCTCTGCCTCCCGAGTGCTGGGATTAAAGGCGTGTGCCACCACAGCTCAACGGTGCAGGGGAGGGCCCTGTTCTTTCAGAGGACCCCAGTTCAATCCCCAGTGTCCGTCCACATTAGAGGTTCACAACTGCCTACCAGCTCTAGCAGATCTGAGGCTTTTTTCTCACTCATAAGCTCACACACACACATGCACATACACAAATAAATAATAAAGTGGAAAAAAAAAAAGAAATGGTTCTTGGTTGGAATGATTAGTTTTTGAGACACACTAGCCTGTGATTTTTTTTTTTTTAAACAATGTATGGCCGATTCCTTAAAGAGAGAATGTTCTTTAAAAACGTCATTTTCTTGCTCACAAACACTCCCTCCCAGAGCTAAGCGTGTGCTTCTGTATTCAGGAAGCACCCCAGCCATTCTCTCACTCTATGGAGGTGTCCTTCCAGTGACAGCATGGGGACGCTCTGGGGACTCCTGCATTACAGTCTGGAAATGGAGTCCCAAGGGGCTAACCGCTGTTGTTCTAGCCTTCCAGGGAGGAATTTACACACATTGGCTCTGCTGAGTTTGTCTGGCTAAATCCCCAATCCATGAGTTTGCCACAGTGTTCTGCTAGGGTTTTATTATTTTATATTATTTTTCTGTTTTTTTTTTTCTTTCAAGACAGGGTTTCTCTGTGTAGCTTTGGAGCCTGTCCTGGAACTCGCTCTGTAGATCAGACTGGCCTTGAACTCACAGAGATCCGCCTGCCTCTGCCTCCCAGGTCCTGGGATTAAAGGCGTGTGCCAACACCGCCCGGTGTGTTCTGCTGTTTTAAAGGGTGAAGAAACATGGGGACTTGGCTGCAGCAAAAAAAAATAAATTAAATAAATAAATAAATAAATAAATAAATAAATAAAATAAAATAAAATAAAAAATTGCCGCAAGTAATCTTCGCCTGGGGGTGCTCATTGATAGCACTTAAGACTAGGCAGCTGGCACAGCCCAGCCTGGGAACTGAAGGCCAAGGCTAAGAGAGCAAGAGTTGGAGGCCAGCCTGGGCTACATATGAGATCCAGCCAACCTGGGAATAGAGTAAGACGCTGTCTCAAAAAACCAGAAGGTGAAACAAGAGGCTGGAGAGATGGTTCAGCAGTTAAGGGCGCTTGCCGCTCTCCCAGAGAACAGGGGCTGTGACGCCAGCATTCACACCAGGTAACAGCCTGTAATTCCACATCCAGAGATCTGACACGCTCTTCTGGCCTCAGTGGGCACCCCCACAAGTACGTGCACACACACACACACACACATATACACACACACACACACACAAAAAAAAAAAAAGCAAAAAACCCCCAAATTTTGGACTCTCTTTGCAGGCCAGGGTATAATAACCCCTGGGTTTCCTAACAAGGCTCAGACCTGCAGGACAACGGCTATTTGATCTGCTACTCCCCGACCCCGACCCCTCAGAACCTCTGACATCCTCTCCCCGCCTCCAGCCTGGTCCTTGCCTCCAGCAGGGTGACTGTGATCATGAACCAGGGCGGAGGGCAGCAGGTGTAGCTGTCGTAGTACCACTTGCGGTCAATCTCCCGGGGCAGGGTCTCGTAGGCCACGTGGCGGATGAGCCGCTGGGAGAGGCTCAGCCCCTTCTCCTCCAGCAGGGCCTTGCTGCTCAGCCTGCGGTTGCCCTGGAGGATGGCCTGGCGGAAGCTGTTGGACCGCTTGTTGCTCATCTGCACAGGAAGTGGGGTGGGGAGAGGGTCAGAGCCGGGGCCTCAGGGGAGCACCTCACCCACCCCTCAGCCTGCAATGTCCCTACAGCCACCCTACACCCTCTTCTGTGAGCTCTGAGCAGCATTCCCTGAATGCCCCTGTGTTGACCTCTGACCTCACAGCTCACCTCCACTAGAAAAGGACTCTGAATATTCCTTCTGCCTAATAGGAAACGGAGATCCAGAGAGTACCTAAGAAGACGCAGGTTCAAACCCAGGCCTGTGCTTATACATTCCTCCTACTCACTCATTCCTTATCTTCCCATCTCTGGTGTTGGGGTCATCACCAGACATGGGGGATGGTGGTGGTCAGGACAGAGGGGAAACCAGCTGTTCACAGTGACGGCTGCTGTGGGAACGCACAGGATCCAGGCCAATGTGTCTCAGCAAGGGCTTTCCGGAAGGAGATGATGGTCAGGTGAGGGCCAGGGGTGAGTAGAAGTGAGCATCCTCAGACACACCAGCTTGGGACGGTGCAAGCAGGTCTTGGTCAGCCAGCTCTTAGAAGCTGCCAGAATCAGAACCCAACGTCACGGAAGCCATGACACCTGAATGTCTCCTGGACGTATGATACTTGGTGAGCCCAGGGCCTCACCCAAGAGCAGGTCCTGCCCTCCGCAGTCAGGGCCTGGCGCCCATCCAACTCTCTGCTTCACCCAGCAGTTAGCCGGACTTCCACCCTCTGGAAGCTTCGCCATCCTTGACTTCCTCTCCAGAATCATACTGTAAACTATTCCCAGGGGGAGAAGCCCAAAAGACCCAGATCTCCTGGCCCAAGGACCCAGCTGCTTCATAGCTACTGGCGTGTAGTAACTGACATACTTCTCAGACCACAGGCCCAGCAGGTAGTAATCCAGTCAGACCCAGAGATAAGAACCAGTCAGGACTAGCAAGGTGAATGGGGCCAGAGCAGGGCACAGGAGTCTGAGGCTCTTTCTGGAAGGATCCAGGTTCAGATGAGGTGGTGGAGTGGGAGTCTCCCTTGCAGAGTCTTCTCATTCCTGAGTCCTGCTTCTCACTGTTCCCTGTGGGGCTTTGAGTCAGCCCCTGGCCTCAGTGAAACCCTTCTAGCCATCCCCACCCTCCAGATGAGGGGGATTTGTTCTGCGTGGGTTTGGTAAAGGAAGGGCCACAGCAATCATGCAGGGAGGTTTCCCGGCAGGAGGACATTTAAGAGAGAGCAGAAGCTTGCAAATGCCGTCCTTTATCATATTTGGTCCTTGCGGAAACCCTGTCTGAACCGTGAGATTCATTTCACAAATGGGAGAGGAGAGGGATGGACTAGACCGCCGCGGCAGGGAGAGGAGAGGCAGAGAGAGGCTCCGGGGTGGCCCTCTTTACATGAATGCAGCCTGCGACTGGCCGCCGCCGCTCAGAGTCTGAACAGAAGAATGTGACAATTTCATGTCACTTCTCATCAGGAGCTCACACAGAGGGCACCACTGGAATGGAGCCAGTCGGGAGGGAAACACTTGCCTGGGCCTTGAGATTGGGCAGGCACCTGGGGCACAGGGGCCGGGCCGGGCACCAGCCTGAGCCAGGCTCATGGTCTGCTTCTTGGTGAGGCTGATGACACTCGTGTGCTCCAGTCTGTGAACCGCTGTCTCGGCTCAGCGTGGGCCCAGGCTTCCGGGTCTGCTTCCTGGGCCTACTAGAACAGGGGAATACGATGCTACCCCTGAACGTCTAGCAGTTCCTTGCCAACCCACAAGTCCACAGACTGGGGCAACCTGCAGCTGAGAGGTCACAGACACTGCTGTTGCCTGGGCAGTCACGTCACTGAGAGCTAAGATGGGACGGGTGACCGCAGGCTTCCCTGGCCCTACCTGAGGCCTTTGGTGTCTAAGAATACAGAGGACTTCACAGAGTTCTTTCTCCTCCGTGGGGGGCATGAAGAGATCAGACGGCCTCATGGGCAGGGAAACAAGCAAAGACATCCCACCTTGTGTCCACCTCGCTAGCCCATGTAGCTTCGACTGATGTCCCGTCCATGGGGTGGGGAAATGCAGCTTGTCTAAGCCACCCGAAGCCCAGGGTAACCACCCACAGCAGCCTCTGTGAGAACAGCATCAATCCCCAGGAAGGGGCCTCCAGTTACGTTATGACTAACAGATGAAAACCTTTTGGAATTTTTAATTTTATTTTGTCTGTTTTCATTTTTGTTTTGAGATAGGGTCTCACTGTGTATCTCTGGCTAACCTGGAACTCACTCTGTAGACCGGCTGGCCTCACACTCACAGAGATCTGTCTGCCTCTGTCTCTGCTGGAATTAAAGTCGTGTGTCACCACACCTAGCCCTTTTGGAATTTATTAACTTAGCAGACCACTAGCTTCCATCAATCCAAAGGCTAAGGATGTCATCAGACAGCATCTGAATTTTTTGTTTGGGGTGTGTGTGTGTGTGTGTGTGTGTGTGTGTGTGTGTGTGTGTGACAGCATCTGAAGCCTATAGTCCCCCATCTTGTTCAACCCATCTCTCTAAAGTTTTCACTTAGTGTGCTTCCTAAAACGTCTTGATTTATAACTCTCTTTGTTCTATTACTATAAAAACCTCCACGAAACTGCGTCCTTGGGACATGAGATTTGAGGAGACCTAACACATGCTTTTCAGGCCGTGGTCACTCACACTGCCCCAGAACAGACCGTGTCTTATTCCACTGGGGTGAGAGCTGCTTCCCTGGATGACTGTGGCATCTTCTCACCTGCCCCAGCTGTGGCTGTTCAACCGTTGTCAGTTCAGAAACCCTCTGCCTAAGCTCCTCCCCTCCCGGAATGCTCACCAGGTTGACAAAGTCCTGGTAGCAGATCTGCCCGTCGGCGTGGCTGTCCGCGAGAGCTAGCAGCACCTCCTTTTTGTGGGGGTCCAGCTTAGAGCTGTGGCTCTCCAGCAGGCTCCGGAATTTTCCCGTGCTGATGTAGCCGGTGCTCCCGGGGTCACACTGGGGGTGAAGCACAGAGAATGGAGGAGTCAGTGGGGTGCCACCCTCCCAGGGCTGATGTGGGGGCCCAGACCTCCCTCACTCCCACCCGACCCTCTCTCTCCCCACAGGGGCCCATGGGGACATTTCTAAAGACAGTCAGCATCATCCAATCCAACCACCTCCTGAGGAGAAGCTCACTGAGACAGGGAGAAAGAAAGGCCCCTCCCCTTTACACTCTTGTTTATCTTTGGTTTCTTTGAGTCAGTTCAGCCTCGGCTGGAGCTAACAGTACCCTTCCTGTGAGGCCCACGCCCCACTGACGGTGATGATGATTTTAGATGATGATGATGATTTTTTTGAGGCAGGGTTTCTCTGTGTATCCCTGGCTGTCCTAGAACTCACTCTGTAGACCAGGCTGGCCTCGAACTCACAGAGATCCGCCTGCCTCTGCCTCCTAAGTGCTGGGATTAAAGGTGTGAGCCACCACAGCCAGCTGATTTTCTTTTCAGTGGCACTGGTGCTCTACCACCCAGCTACAGCTCTCCCCCAGGCCTCTCCCTCCACTTACTCCTCACTGTGGAAAGGAAAGCAGGAATGGAGTTCAGTAAGTGGCGGAGACAAAGGACTTCTGGGACAGGGAAAGGACCTGAGCCTCCCCTGGGCAGGAAGTACACCCAGATTCCTCATGGCGGGTCCTACGCACCCCAGACATGGGTAGCCGACTCACCAAAGACATGCTCTCTGTCGTTTTGTCTTGGGGGTGGAGGTGTGCACTTCTGCATTTGTGTGGGCACATGCACATTGTACACCATTCTCTTTGACCTCCTGAAACTCCCCTGCACCCTGGACAGCGGCCAGGCTTTCCCACCCAACCTGTCTCTAGCTACTTCTGCTTCACCCCAGGGCTGCCGCTCCTCCAAGGCCAGGGCCTCCTGTCACCGCGTCTGTCTTACGGTCATTCAACTGAGATTTGCTGGATGAATAAGTGGGATGGTCAGATGAACAGACAGGTACTAATTTTCCATGAGGAACCTCTTCGCTTCAGTGAGAAAAGGCCTTAACCCTTTTTTGCTCCTTCCCCATAGAGCTCACCCAGAGCCTGCCCTCTATCCTCTGTCAGGAAATGACACCCCATCTGTTGTGGTACCAAATGCACTCCAGTCAAAGGGGCTCCTGCCCCGGGACTCCAGTGTGTTCCTGGAAATGCTGCAGCGGGTTGCTTAGGTGGAAGGGCAGGGGATACAGCCAGCGGCAGGATGCCTGCTGAGTACCGACGAGTGCCCGCATCTGATGCCCAGTCAGGAACGGGGGCCACTAAATCGCAATGGGCCCTGGGAATGTACAGGGGTGAGGCTGGAAGACCAAACCCATGTGGCCCCTTTCTCTGGACAAGGATGACAAGGCTGTTTAGTGAAAGCAGGTTCTATGCAGTGTTTCTAGACAATCTCAGACGGACAGTCAGGGACCACTTCAGCTCTCCACAGAACTCTTGAGGAGAAAATTCTAAGGAGGTCCATGTTCAGATGACACCCTCCACCCCAGCACCAGGTGTACACGACATCTATGTGCTTATTACCATCAAGTACTTCAGGAAACTCAAGAGGATCTTCAGAGCCGACAGAATGGCGCAATGGATAACAGTCCTTGCTAAGCAAGCCCGACCCCTGAAGGGAGGAGTGAACTGACCCCCAAAGCTATCCTTTTGATCCCCCACTCAAGCTCCCCACTCCCCCCCACAGAATAATAATGCTAGTAATAATAATAACAACAGATTTTTATTTGTTTTTTGAGACAGGGTTTCTCTGTATAGCCCTGGCTGTCCTGGAACTCACTCTGTAGACCAGGCTGGTGCCAAGCTCATGGAGCTCTGCCTATGTCTGCCTCCCAAGTGCTGGGACTTAAGGCATGTGACACCACACTTAGCTAAGGGCCAAGGAGATGGCTCAGCAGGTAAAGGTACTTGCAGTTAAGCCTGATGACCTGAGTTCAATCCCCAGGACCCATAGAGCAGAAAAGAGAGAATTGACTCCTATACGTTGTTCCCTAATCTTCCCTCTTGTGCTATGGCACACAAACAGATGGAGAGACAGACAGAGGTACATTATACCCACACCCGCACTCTAAATGCAATTTAAAAAAAAGGGTAAAAATGCCTAATATTTGCCATATTATCAGGAGCCAAACACTGTTTAATGTACTTTATGTAGAGAATTTCTTCTTTTTTAAGGATTTATTTATTTTTTATTTTATATGTATGAATTTTTGCCTGCATGTATCTATGTGTACCACATGTGTGCCTGGTGACTAGGGAGGCCGGAAGAGGGGGTTGAATCCTCTGAAACTGGAGTTACAAACAGCTGTGAGCTGCCATGTGGGTGCTGGGAATTGAACCCAGGTCCCCTGGAAGAGCAACAAGTGCTCTTAACCAGGGAGAGGCAGGGCTCCAGGGACCCACAGTTCTCCCTTAAACACTTCTTTTTTTTTCCTTCTTAATTTTTCAGTAGGAAAGGGGCCCAAACAGAGCTAGTCTGGCCTCCTTGCTGCTCGGATGTGGACACTGAGCAGAGAGAGGGAAGGCTGAAAATGCTAACGGTCAGGGCTTGGGTGCAGGAGACCACTGTCCTAATCCACGAGGACCAGGCCTGACTCTCCCTGGGGACCCTTTAGCCTGGCCCGGACTGTGTGCCCAAGCCATGCTGACCTCAGGACTGGGGTGTAGGTCCTGGAAAGATGTCTGTTGGGTCCTGCAGGGGTCAAGGGTCCCCCGCATATCAGGGCACCTCCTCTGCCTCACTAGGGGAGGAAGCCCAGTGGTTTTGCACATTCTGGGAGCTCAGTCCTCCATCCCTTCCCAGGGGCCTCCTCAGGGCTCCCGGCAGAGGAAGATGGAGGAGGGGGCTGGGATCAGGCACCAGACAAAGAAGCCACCTGCTCTCCCCCCCCCCTCCCCCAGGGGGGGGGGCTCCCTGCTGTTGTCCCAGTGACGGGAGCAGCCCTGTGCCTCCCCAGGCCTCCTAGCCCCAAACACATTACAGGCTCTATCTCCACTGGAGAGAAGGCGCTGGAATCAGGCCGAGCCTCCGTTCTCTGCCAAAAATCTACCTTTCGTGCCAGGGCCAGATAGGCCAGACAATGGGGGGGGGGGTCACTGCTACCCTAGTAATGAGGCCTCAGGGACTCAGGATGACTGGGGGTGGGGGAGAGCCGGAGCCAGGCTGGTTGCTGGGGTTCTAACGCCTCAGACAATGAGGCAAGGACAGAGCTGGCAGTGGGCATCGGGTGTAGGTCAAGAGACAGGAGGAGACAAAAGGAGCCAGGGATGGGGTGTCGGGAGATATTGAGATATCAAAGTCAGAAGAGAAAGGTCCCGCCATTCAGAAGGAAGCTGAGGACTTCTGACTGAGACTGTGTCCCTCAAGCAAGATGGCAGGGAGCAAGGCAAAAATCACACTCCTGTCTTTACACAGCTCTGCCTTGATTGGCCCATCTGTTCAATGGGCTGATGTCAACCTGGGGCAGCTGCTAGCCAGGGGCTATTCTCATCACTTCGTTCAAATGGGGGTCTGTCTACTTGGTCTGTCTCCCTGCCAGCTGCCCTCAGGCCTATAGGGAGTGAGGTCACACTAAGAGTCTGGTGCTACTTTGGTGGGAAGCGGATGGGGGAGGGACAGAACAAATCCTCTAAACACAACGTCCTCATTTTTTTTTAAATTTAATTTAACTTATTTATTTATTTTGGTTTTTTGAGACAGGGTTTCTCTGTGTAGTTTTGGTACCTGTCCTGAATCTCGCTCTGAGGCTGGTCTTGAAGTCACAGAGATCCGTCTGGCTCTGCCTCCCGAGGCTGGGATTAAAAGCATGTGCCACCACCACCATCCAGCTCATAACTTTCTTATATGCTAGAGCCCCTGAAGCTGCCCCTCTAAGCTCCTGGCCCTGGAATCACTCTTTGGGGCAGCGGGCTGCTTGCAGGATGAGCTGGGGGTGGGTGGCATGAGCTGGAGGCAGCCTGGTCAGGGCTGGTCTGGAATGGTCAGTCATGGCAGCCGGAGGAATGAATTTATCAGCAAGCGAGGCAGAAGCCTGGCAAGAAGGCAGAAGTCAAAGTGGGTCCTGACCTTCAGGAGACTGCCCAGTGCTGGACAGGGGTGCACTGTGGCGGGGGGGGGGGGGACCTGCATTCAACTCAAGCACAGGAGGCTGACCACAGAGACCAGACAGCCCTCCCACAATCCTGCCCTCCCTCCTCAGCCTTGAAAAGAGCTTCTAGAGGCTCCAAGGGGACTTTTAATCCCACCAGTGCCCTGCTCATAAACTGCTAATCCCATAGGTGGCTGCTCTTTCCAGTCTGAGGCCACACACAGACACACACACACACACACACACACACACACACACACACACACACACACACACACGGACTCCCATCTCTCATCTCCCATCCTGTGCTGGTGTCTGGACCACTTAGCTCACTCAGTCTGGGGAAATGATCCACCAAATTCTCCATGTGTTTAGGTAGGAGCTCACTCCCAGCTGCTGTGCTGGGGCAGGGGAGGCAGTTCATCAACTACAATGCCTCAGTTTCCCCATCCAAGAATTGGTAGGAGGAGCTTTGCCTTCTTGTGGGGATGGAAGGGGCCATATCCATTCCTGGATATAGAGGCAAGGATAGGGTAGAGAAAGTCATCGCCCATTAAGCCTTTAGGGGCAGTCATCCCATTCTATTCTGAGTCCCAGGACCATCGAAGAAGAGTAAATGAGCAGTGAGGTGGTACTGGACCCATTTAGCAAGTTAGAAGGTTAGGGACTCATAAATCTGGGTCCAAACAGCTGGAAGGGAAGCCAGGTATAATGGTGGAGACCTCTAATAGTGGCACTTGAAAGATAGGCAGGAAGATCAGGAGTTCAATGTCACCCTCTGCTATATATCAAATTGAAGCCAGCTTGGGCTACAAGAGACCACTGTCTCAAAAAAAAAAAAAAATCTCAAAACAAGAACAAAATCCCCAAGTTTCTGG